CTCGATATTTACAGAGTATTCAACCGGCATCACAAACTTTATAAATCACCCCCATAATGAATGATTGATGGACTAATTATAATGTATAAAAATGTATTTAGATTCCTAGTATTTATCAACAAGATATGACATAGATCATGCTCTTCCATAATCAAAATCCCCATAAAACAAAAGTGCCATTAAGTCAACCTAATCGTGCCATGATCAAACTCAAGCTAGCTCAAGTAAACCTATGTCTCCAATTAATGATCCAAACATGCATCACACATCTCAACATCATGAACGCATGCATACTAATATTGAGTAGATTGGCAAAGTAATTTTAAAAATTACCTAGTACTTATTTTGTGGTCGCCAAAAAGGCAAAAAGACATTTACTTAAACTCATGATAAGATAACTTGGAGGGCATCGCAGGAACCATAAAGTATGGTGCTCAATAAGTATTATGGTGACCCATTCCAATTGACTCTCCCAATAGAAAATTTATTCTCATCATAGGTTGCATCAAGGTCGGGCTTCACTCTAAAGTATTGTCGCCATTATTTTCTTGTCGAATTTAAATTTATTACAGCTCAAAAAATTTATATAAAAAAAAGTACAGCAACAATGAGCTGCAAAGAACAAGAACAGCGAGAATTAGAACCAAAGCCGCTAAGCCTCCATAAAAGTAAAGCCGCCAAAACCAAAAGATTCAATATGATGAAGCCTAATTCGGATGGGATGACCTTATTATAGTAATACAAGGATGGCTGCATGGCCATTAAAGTAATGCTGGAAGAAGAGAATATGATTTGATTAATTTTGAGTAAAATCATGGCCCACGACTATCTTTATGAACTTGCTAAATCAAACCCTTGGGGATTGATTTAGCCCGTAGGACTTTCACAGTCTGTACTCTTGCCTTTTGGAGGAAATAAAGTCGAAGCTATGAGAGAGATACATGTATATCTCCTGTAAGCTCTTCATTCAAGAACGCATTTCGTGACAGCAAATGTCTCCTCATCTAGTTGGAATAAAGGCCAGTCCAGATTCACCACGAGGGACAACAAGACAAGAATAGTGTTTAATTTAACTACTAGAGCAGATATCTCATCATCGTCAACTCTGTCAGCTTGTGAGTACCCTTTGGTGACCAATCATGCTTTGTTGTTTTCAAATAATCTATCGGAGTTAAACTTGATGCTGAAAATCCATCGACACCCCACAACTTTCTTACTTTGAGAAAGATCAACGACGTCCCACATATGGTTTCGCCGAACGGCATTCATCTCCTCTATTACTGTCGTATTTTAAACTAGATCGGCAAGAGCAACCTCAATAGTAACTTGGATATGATGGTCCATCAGGGCAGTAGCAAATGCTCCGTAGGCGGCAATAAATTGCGGAAAGAGACATATTTTGTCATAGAATAGAGAGAGCATGTCTGATTGCGAACCTTACTTAGAAAAACTCACCTCTGAGGATGTCTCATAGAGAGTAGTCAAGTTCTTGTAAGGTGGTAGCAAACTCCAGAGTAGGGTCATTGGGACGGGTGTGCCGACACGGATAGTGAAAGGAGGAGATGGTGCACTCAACGGAACAGATGACTCGATCGCAGGAACAATGGAAGGAACATCCATAGGAGTAGGATAGGGACAGTGTCTAAGAAGCCAAGCTCCCCCTCACTTGGGGCCGAGCTGAAAAAATTGGGCGCACTTTCAAAAGAGGCATCAACACTTACATAAATAATGTTTGTGGTAGGCACCGATACCCCTTTTGGGTGACGGTACCCTAGGAAGATACAATTTATGCATACGGGATCAAGTTTACTCCGAGTGGGGGCAGTGCTCCGAACAAAGACAATGCACCGAAAAATCTTAGGATCTAATGTGGAGAAATCCTGATCGGCATGGAAGCATGACATCAAGATGGCTAAGGGGCCCGAAAATTAGTGAATTTTAGAGGGACTATTTATGAGATAGGTGGCAAAGAAAATGGCATCGTGTCGGTCAACTTTTTCGATAGATATAGATTTGAAAAACATAATGGATCGAGCAACATTGAGGAGGTGACAGTTTTTCCTCTCAGCTATCCCATTTTGTTGAGTGTTCATGCACGAGCTATGGTGAAGGATGCTCTTATTCACCAAAAATTCACCCAAAATAGAGTTGAAAAAATCATGACTATTATTGGTCTGAATGACATGAAAGGTAGTTTTGAATTGAGTTAAAACAAAGGTGTAGAAGCTTTGGAAGGTGAAAACAACATCTAATTTATCTTTTAAAATGTAGACACGTTATCTAAATGTGGTCATCAATCAAAGTCAGGAACCACCGTTTTTGGTGTAACTAGAAGTGTGAGAGTCTCCATATGTCACATGAATGAGAGAGAAATGAGCAGAATGTATGTAAGTGTGATGTGAGTAATGGACCCGATCATGTTTGGCTAAACAACATGTCTCACAATCGAAATTAGAAAGGTTTTTATTAGAAAGCATCAAAGGATACGAATTTATTAAATATTGAAAATTAGGATGACAAAAATGACAATACAACAACACAATGAAACATTCAATAACTCGAGATAAACTACAACTCTCGAGTGATGTGTTCTCTCTCTTCATGATCTTCACTTGGAAGTAGTAGAGTCCAGCTACTCTCTTGGCAATTCCAATCATCCTCCCCGAACAATGATCATGAAAAACATACCATCATATAAGAAACTAGAAACACAATCAATATCATTCGTCAAATTGCTGACATATAACAAGTGACATTACAACAGAAGAACATGTAAAACATACTACAGAGTTAGATCAGATGTTAATACAACCGACTCTTTACCAGTAATGGAACAACAGGGGTCATAGGCAATTCTAACAGTATCTTTCCCAGAGCATGGATAGTAAGTCTAGAAAGCTTTGGATCATCCAATCATGTGATCTATGTCACCTGAATCAACAATCCATGGACTAGATAAGGAAAAAACCGTGAGTCATAGGAAGAGTACCTTGTCGAATGTGATAGGTCGACGAACTCACAGAGAATTAAGTAGCTCCAAGTAGCTTTGATTAATTGATCCATTTGATTTTTCAGGGATTTGGAGGATTTCGAGTGTTTCGGGTAGGAGTCAGTTGAACCGTGGTAGATTCAGACGTCGTCGTGAGAACCTTGGTAGCAGAAAATTTGGTCGAAAGTTTGTATATCGGTTTACTGTGAAGTTTCCAACACTTGTCTCTAGTGTTGTTGGATTTGTAAGAATAATCATAAGTGAGGTGGTCGGTCCGAGGTGGCATATACGAGAGTTGAGCACTATTCGAGATCAAGGCGAACGAGTATGACAAATTTTCGACTCTCTTCCCGATGAATCTCAGTGAAAGCAGAGCGAGCAGAAGAAAGATGTTCCCGACCAAGAATACGACCCCAAACTTCGTCTAGGTCTTTGTTAAGACCAACCAGAAATTGGAACATGCGATCATTTTCTACAATCTTGTAGAAGAGAGAAATGTAGGTCGAAGAATCCCAAGTGTAGTTGTAGTACATGTCACATTTCATCCATAGTACAACAAGGTCATTATAGTATTGGGTCACGATTCTTGGCCCCTGTTTTGCCTCCTAGATTTTCTTAGACACATCATAGAGTTCTTTGAAGTTTCTTACATCTAAATAGGTATTACGGTCTGTCGTCCAGAGGGCACTAGCTCAAGGGAGGAACATATATGAACGGTCAATTGAAGTTTTCATGGAGTTGATCAACAACGACATGAACATGGAGTTCCCTACTTCCTAAGCTACATACACCGGGTCAGTCTTTGGAGGCACATGAATCATACCTGTCAGAAGATCGAAATTCTCACATTCTTTGATGAACAAAGACACCACTTGGGATCATTTGAGAAAATTATTTCCGTTCAGCTTATGGTTGGTGATTAAGAAGTTCATGTAATATTTCGGTCATCCGTATTATGGAGGGATTGAGATTGGTGTCGAACCTCTGGTGGACTCAAGTACAGTGTCAGAAAGAGGCTAAGTGATGGAAAAGTTTTCCATGATTCCTACTGAGCCAAAGGTAATGTTGAGTTATTGAGACAAAAGAGTGTTTCAACTGCTGGAGAGAAATTGGATTGGTTGGTTCTCGCAGCGGAAGTCACGGGAAGAGCGAGCTGGGAAGAATCAAGGGAAGAGCGAGCTGGGAAGAATCAAGGGAAGGTAAGCCGGGAAGAAAAAATGCTACAGTATACTTGGTTATCGCATTAAGAGTTGAAGAATCGTAGGAAGACAAGCCATGAAGAAGAACCGGCTGGGAATATATGCGTGAGGAGCAGCAGTGGGAGCCCAGCTAGGAAGAACCGTTGCAAGAATAGCAAGAACCAGATCAGGCCAGCTGGAAGGAGATTCGATTGGCTAGAAAAAGGCCCGACAGCTGCTACGATTAGAACCATGGCTCTGATACCATGTGAATTTTAGAAACTAGAGCGGCATAATATTATTGATAGAATGAGGGGTATTTAAACCCAATTACAATAAACCCAACAAAAGAAAAAAAAACAAAATAAAACAAATAAAAAAGAAATAAAACTAAATAAAATAAATGGGAAATATATAATAAGAAAATAAAAACTAATAATAAGCAATAACGACTAGGGTTTGTCATGTTCTAATAATGATGAATGACTTCTTAAATGATACACAAAATGACAAATTTACCCATTAAATATTTCGGTCAAGCCTTATCCATACCTTTTCTTCATGATATTTTTTGTTAATTTTATTACTTGTCATAAAAGTACATTTTCTAAGCTTTCATCATTTAAAATTATTGAGTTGTAAATAGCCAATAAAAGATTTTAAAATGAAGAACACTTGTGTTAAGGATATTCTAACCCAAATTTAGTCATAGTGAATTTCAATATCATTGAATTTACTTTGACATGAGTGTAACCAAAATTTGACTGATTACTCATGTATTGTGATCATGCCAAAACTAATTCAACGATTTTGAGATGCATTGTAACCAAACCAAATTGTTGCCTTTTAAAATGGTAATCCAAAAACATTTTGTTAGCTTGTTATTCTCAAATCCAAAACTGTTACCAGCTCCAAACTGTCCACCATATGCTATAACAATACAAGGCTCATGCATTGCAGGAGAAACATTAACGTCATAGCAAATGTTCATATAAACGCAAATAAAGGACAAACCTAAACGATTCAAAGCACCATCAATATTAAAAAAATATGCACTGGACCTGATCAGGCTGACATCCAGAAATATATACGCAACGGAAACCCAGATTATCAGATTTGATTCCAGAACTCACCGGTCTCTTGCTCATATTGCTGCTGCTGCAAGCTAATTCAGTGCATACTCTATTGGAATCTTCAAGTTTTTCTTATACTTTCTTTATAATTTGAACGACGTCTTCATCCTCTAACTCATGTTCCTACATCAGGCATTGCAAGCTTTAGTAAACAATGTGGCCAACATCACAGAAAGGATAAGCCGAGTTAATAAGACATGTTACCCTCCCAACCCGCTGAGGTTTATGTTTGGCGCTTGACCCCCATACCAGAGAACTGGACAGTTCACAGATACATGAATGAGCAAAGAAAAACTCATAAGTGGTAGCTCAAAAGTTGACTAATGTGACTGCACTCACTATTTAAACTGCTTGAGCATGTCTTTGTGAATCTTATTGCAGAAGTCTTCAACAGTTCTTTTCTTTGAGGACAAGATTACAGGATCCTCGTAATCTGGATTCATTCCTTTGGGCTTGGTGTATATGCGAGTTAGATTAAGATACTCCCAAATTTTCTCTAGCAGGCCATCAAGATTCCATTCTAGATGGGCGCTACATAAGAAAATACATGAGATTAATATACATTAAAGGTTATCTTCAAATTTATATCAATATCTACATATATATAGATGCATGCATGCATGCATGGATGTATGTATGTGTGTGTATATATATCTATATATATATATTATATATATATATATATATTAATTTTTTATGAAAATAACAAGGCAAGAGAATATTCATGCGATAAGGAGCAATATATTCCGCAGTACCTGATTGGACAATAATGAGGAAGCTTGTCTAAAATCTCCAGCTCTTCAAGTGTTATTTGGTCAATCTTGTTCACTACATAGATACAAGGCGTATAAATTCGACTTCCTTCGATAACGTCTATAAGATCGTCAGCAGTAGCATCATATCGGAGGGTGATGTCTGCATTATGAATCCTATATTCACCACAGATTGCTTTCACAGTTTCAAGGTCCAAGTGTGTGTTTGTAACTGTTGATGTAAGATTGATGCCACCCTTGTCCTTCTTTCTAAAAGTCAAATTCGGTGGTTCTTTATTCAACCTGTAAATAGTCATACAAGCAGCAAATTATATAGATTATATGAAATGAATAAAATCTATTGTTAACCGAACTCACATTTCATAAGAAGCTGCCTCTTCACTTCAGACAGCAGTACAGAAAAAAAACAAACACGACTTCACAAAACGTCTGATGCAGAATAAGAGCAATGTTAAATGAAATTTTGTGAGTTTATGTTGTTAAAAATGGTGGAAAAACCATCAAAAGTAAATCCAGTTATTTCACAAATATTTTGAGTAAATGATTCAATCAAAAATCCCTCATTGGAGATGAAATTACAGCTATATCACAGCTTCCTGGCAGGACCCCCATAAAAATAAAGTGAAAAAACAATCTTCGTGACAGCTCAAAAACTAAATCATGCGACCTATAATTCAATGCAACGAGATGGAGCAAAATAAGCATTGCGGCATGCTCGAAAATAATCATGAGCCAGTTGTGTGGTTTGAAGAAGATAGCTTTAAACTCAGGCTCGCTTCCTTCAAACGCATAGTCAAGGCTCAAGAAATAAAACAACTAATCTTACCCAACCGTTACAGTCCCCATGAAGAAACTCCAACTGTCAAGGGAGTGTTAATGCCCAATCCAATGAAATGGGTTCGAGAAAGAGAACATGGAATCATCAGATCCCCAAGGACAAATAACCAAGAATCCACCGGGGCAGAAGTAAATCTGAGAAGAACATGAGGGGAAGAAGGTCCAATGGGAGTCCTTTTATCTTGCCACTTTAAGTATATAAACATTTAGGTTAATGATGTTTTCATAATTTCGCAAACTATAGATCTAAAGATAAACCATGCTATCTCTCAGTTGTGGGCTAAATTAAAATGCTCCTTAACAAGAATACTTTGATCCTTCAATCAAACAAACGGTGAAAACCAAGCCAAATCACAATTACAGTTATTGTTAAAAATGAATCTAATATCAGCGAGTACAGCGGCTGCCTTTCAGAAAGATGATTTGATCTATTCATCTTCTTAGAAACCTCAATAAAGTTGGGTACCCTCCATATTAAGCGTAGAATTGGATAGTTCTTTTAAATTTAATGAAGTTGGGGATAATCTCCATATAAATAATTGAATTGGGTAGTCTACCTTCATCAGGTAGAGCGAGTTTATAGTTTTTAGGAGTATGAAATAAAGTGGAATCAAAGGTCTGATAAATCAAGATACAAACTTATTTCAACTCAAAAGTTAAATCTCTAAGTGTATCAATAGCTTGGTATTTTCATACCAATACATTTTTAACCTATTTGATATGACACTAAACCTAATATTCTCCTGTATTTTAACAATCTACCCCTCGAGTGAGAGCTCTCCACATCAGTTATCACTTACTCTCAAACAAACACATTTCTTTTTCATTATCAAATATCATGAACCAAGAGCTTACACAAGAATGAGTAACTGTTTAGAGATCACCGGCTTTTGAGTTTTGTTAAACCATCATACTTAAAAAACAAACAAGAGGCATGGAAACCATGAACAGCACTATTCACATGTAACCAAAAAAATCATTGACTCTTGAGACCACTTTTCACTTCTGAAGGTCCTCCTTCCTAACATTGTTAAACTCCTTTTTTGTACATGATGACTTCATTAAAATAAACAATAATACTTGAGATATTCTTTCAAGTTTAATCACATAGAATTTATAGTTAAAAATCATCAATTTATTATCCAATGAAATAGCATTTTACAAATTTGAGATCTAGCTCATCTTTATCAATATAGTTTGCATGCACATAAGAAAGACAATACAAACCTTTAAATGAGAAATGTTAACCTCCTTGTCAGTCCAAAACTCTTCATATTCTCGTAGCATAGAACTGAGGGTCCTCCATCATTCCAATAATTAATAGTGCTCATTAACCCACCTACAAAATTATGGGCAATCCGGCATGTAATCTTATGGCTTTAGCGCTTTCATTTTGAATTTTGTTCAAGTGTTCAACAATTCCATTCCATTATGGTGTTGTTCTTTGAACTGCCCTTCTCAAGAATTAAACAAAAATTGAGCAAAAATTTCTAAGAATTAATACATTCTCATACATGATATGATCTTAAGCACTTTATCTTTGCAATGAAATCATTTTTCGCAAGGCTGTTTTATTTTAAAAATAAGCAATTACATCATATTTACTTTTTTAAGAAATAAATCCATACATTTATATTGAGACATCAATAAAGATGACTTAGTGAAGTCACCAAGTGATCATTAGGGATCGTCCTCAAACTTTAGCATACATAATTTCAACGTTTTGCATTTTAGATTTCCTTCAAGATAGAGAAAATAATTAATTTTTTATATAATTTCCAGAAATAAATCATTAAAAAACTAAAATCCAAATACTTCAAATTTGATAAGTTACTTTTTGAATCAACATCATCTATTTCTCACCTTTTAAGTCTCGATCTTTGATGCCATGTGTATGAATCAGTATTTCAATTTATTATTGCTCCCATTATTTTAGTTTTGATGTCATTTATAGTTCGTAATTCTCATTCTCGCAAGAAATCAACATAAAATTATTAATCACCTCCCAAGTTGATACAGGATCTGTCAGCCTGCAAAACCATGAAACCAAAAGAAATTCTGTGATACAAGATTCCACATATAACGGAATCACGATCCCGTGATCACAGTTGCAGAACATGTCGTTGGACCTCGCCGATTTCATTATATTTTCAACATGGTTCTTTTCGTTTCGATTTATTTCCTATGCCTTATCTCCTATATTTTTTATTTGTAAATAGAGTTTTTACTTAAGAACTATTTATATGTTGTTATATTATGATTGAAGGCTTTTGACTATTGTCATGTTATTTAGAGATGTTTTCTCGAGAATTTCTTTGTTGGAGCACTGCTTCTTTGGATTTTTTTCAAGCAGTATATGTAGCCTGATAGGATCAAATTGGTGATCTCTCCTAGACTTTTGAAGGTCTCCTTCGTCATCCAGCTTGCACCAAACTGGCAGGAAAACCGTTATTATCATTTTTGGTTCGTTGTCTTGCTTTCATCCGCGCCGGAATTTCAGCCGCCATCCATCCTCCTTATCCCTTACCCCTCCTACAACTTTCCTAACGTCTTTTTGCATTCACAAATACATTTAAAAACCCTAGAACTGTATCACAAGTATTAGTAATGAAGGTCAGTTATATCATTCTTCACTAGTTGTTCAACGATGATCATATTCTTCTTTAAGCTTTAAAAAATGTCTCATCCTATGAAGCTTCCACCTAATTGTATTGACAGTTTTTTATTTGAACATCACCAACAAACATAAAGCTTATATTATCATCTCCATGATAGAAATTTTCACATATAAACTCATTTGGTAAAATAGAGTGAAAATACACACCTAAGTTCAAGATCCATTAATCCATTAAACTCAATATTGATGATTAATGCATCATGAATATCTTTTGTAACAACATTCAAAGACTCTTCTTTTTTGTTCACCTTCTTCTCTATGAGAAATTTATTTTCATATGCCCAACCTTGACAAAATGTCAATATGCACCATGACAATATGCACCAGTGCAACTTTTAACTTGGACTTTTTGACAAGTATGTTGGCCTCTTTGAGAATTGGATCCCCCTCAATTGTACCTTAATTTGTGGTTCCTCTTATTTCAAGATTCAAACTGGACAAAGGGAGAGTCAAATCTTAATTCTCAACTTCATATGCCCCACTTAAAATTATACCTCAAACATCACTTAGTTTACTTAGTAGATAGATGATTAAAACAATGATTGCATGACAATTTCGCTTGCAATTGTGCCCTAGCTCTCCAAAATTGATAACAAAAGCTTATAGCATAAACATCATCATTGAAGTTGAACTTAATAAAACTCAATTTAAAAGTGATCAAAACTTGTTGATATGTTATACAGTAGAAGTATCTTCTTACACCTTGGGAATATGGGATTAAATAACATTCTCAAATATATTGTTTGATGCAAATGGCTTCTCACACAAAATTAAAAATACTTTTATCATTCTAATTGTAACCTTAAATGGTGTGTTGAAGGGAATATTCTTGGTAAATGATAGAAATACAAATCCTAACACATTTGTCTAGGAGATCCCTACCACGATATACCTCTAGTCATGACTATTAGCTTTACCTTGGAAATGGAATGGTACATATTTAGCTAAATATATGGCAGCCTAACAACAAAAACTGCCAATCATCTTGTTATTTTTCTAATTCTTTCAATATGCTGTTTGGTCAATCCATTCCCTGCCAACCTCATAAATTGTTATATATCATATTTCTATCATGAATTAGGCCGATATGATTTGTAGTTGTGATAACCAACTGATTAAAAAATATACTATTAAACTTGTTAGTGTATCCAAATTCGCACCAAAATAAGCCACAATGAAGCCCTGTAATTTTTCACAACCCTTAGTAAATTGTAGTGATGTTTTTGTAGTATCCAAATAAAGCAAAATCCACTTCATCTCCTCCAAATGCACCTTTCCTAAATTTTTCGCAGTATTGAACTATGAAGGTATAGTGCACGCTATAGCATACATTCATAAAACAATTGCTGGGCATAAAAAATTGGGTAATATATTCTATCTCCTCATTAGTTTCATGTGATAAATTCTTTCAGTTTAAAGCGGCAAACTAAGAAAATACATACAGACTTTGCATATGATATATTAAATATTTTTAATATATTATCAGTAAAATCAACCAGAAGAAGTGTCAATGCACCAGCATATTATTTAATAAAGAATTATAATCCAAAAAATTTCCATTGCCACGCCCCAGTTTTTCATTTTTGGCAATTATTTTTTTATTAATAATTAAGAGGGAAAAACATAATAATCATAATTCTAAGCTTGTTCAATAGCCACTCAATTTATAAGTTGATGTTTAATATTGTGATTATGTATTTTTAATTAAATATTGAGGGTGTAAACATACATATATCATTTTGAGCCAAGCTAAATATTATACGTATGAGGCAAGACAATGTCCTCAAATATGGCAAGTTGGCACCCTCATTACCAAAAATAAATGCCAAAAATATTTGTTTGTTCATTGCATATGGCATTCATTGCCCAATTCTCAATTTTCCACATTAGAATGCGCTAAAAAAGTGATTTTAGGATTAAGTAATATTGATAAGGTAGCCACCTTCAAGCATGCTATGTATTTTGTAAGATTGTAGTTCACCTGTGCTAATTGAAATCACCACTTCAGCCATATTTTCCTAGTCAAATTTCACAGCACTAATATATAGATCATTCTCAATTAAGAAAACAAAATTATAATCATAAAATCGTAGAAAGACCAACAACCTCTTTGACACTGCCACCTATAACCCATTCTCCTTCAAAAATTAGCCACATCAACTTCTTCACCAACTTCTCCCTTTTTATAGAAGCTGTTGCTCAATATGTTTTCCTCCCTTTGACCTCTCAACAAACTCCCATAACCCATATAAACGTTGCCATCAAATTCCATAAGAGGATCAATAAAACTGGCAACCTAAAAGTTCCGTGGCTTAAGGTTCATGGTTTCAGGCTCAATCCATCACCTCTGACCTCTATCGGAACTCCAAAGGCCACCCGCAACACTTGTCACTGTCCAAATAGCTTGCCGCAACCATCCTCCATCTCACATCAATACTCAGACGTGACTTTAAATACAGATTAACAAGTAATCATCAAGAAAGATATCTCTAGCATGTGTCAGCACATATCTTAATTTTTTTATTTATTATTTAAATTCATGCCAAAAAGCATATTTAAAAATTATCAATGTTATATTTGCAAGAACATAGATGCATTTAAGTAGAGAAACAAATATGTTAATCCTAGAAAGTATTCTTGCTCTTTCTTGGAAAAATGACAAAAATCTAGAAAGTTAAGTATTCTTGCTCTTTCTTGGAAAAATGACAAAAATATATAAGGATACCAAAATGACGGAAGCCACAAATATCAAAGAAACCTTACCTTATGCCAAACCCTTCAAGCTCTTTTTCAATAATACGTTTGTGAGTTATTGGCTTTATAGCATCCAGAACAATTAAAATGCAATTACATGTTCTAGCAGTGCTGATTACCTGGATAGTAATAATCAACGGTTCAGATTCATAGGAGCATCATATAAAATGCAAAGCTAGCTCCACACAATATTAAAGAGGGAAAGACTTGGGCTTCAAATGTTAATTTAATGGGGATGCAATGCAAACAGCTAAAATTAAGTGTATTCTTGGTGATTGCTGATATGATAGCAGTTTTTGGGGGTAAAGGAAAATTGGTAGGGCATTTAAAAGAGCAAATTACGGAGACGGCTCAACTCATGCACACATGCATGTCTGTGCATCTCTTTACTGGTCAGAGCTCTAATTTAATGCCAAAAGCACATTATTCAAGATAAATGTTACCAAAGAAATACCTGGTGCATCTTCATCTACTATTAGGAAAATAACTTCATATGGTTACCTGCCTTCCTCTTCCCTTTCCATCCTTTGCGCCTTCAATGATCCCCGGAAGATCCAACAACTGAGATACAAATACCAAATTGAGAACAAAATATTAGATTGAAGAAAAGCAGAAACATCAGCATCACAGATTAAAAATATATGACTACAGAAGTTAGGAAAAAATATGACAATAAATATCAGAAAGTACTTAAATATCAACATTATAGTTGATCGTTGCTCAACAATCATTATCATCATAATTAACCTTATCTCAAACAATATGAATTCATATTTTCCATTCATTCCCATTGAGTGTTACCTAAACCGTAAAAAAACATGATCTTCACAAATCATTTTGATCTTCTGCCCATGCTATCTTGGGCCTATCCCTTCTTCTTATCCTCCAGCACTATTTTCATCTGCTCATCTAATTAGAGTGCTATTTTCTACTTCTAGTTATATACATTCAAATCACATAAATATAATTTCAATTATCTTATCATTAATAAATGAATCAAATGATGTTCTAGTTATTCATCTAAAAAAATCAATAATTAATTTATTCTTCGTAATTTAGCTATACAACTACTTAAAATTCTCATTTATACCACGCCTATAAGGCCTGGAAACTAAATTAATTAATAAACTCAATGGGAAATCAACACTTTCCATTATCTCTACAATATAAGATTCAACACCAACTTATAAAAACTTTTATCATAAGGCTTTCCCTGACTTAGGTTAGCAAAAGAGGCACAAAATGAGAGAAGACCTAATAAAATGTTTAGCCTAAAAACATGGGTTAGCCTACCCTATGCAAGCAAAGGACGGAAAACTGCATAACAATTCCAACGATTAACATACACAAAATGCCATAACTCCTAATCCTAGTGATTGGAACTGATTGAGTCAAATAAGTGATGTTTTATCAAATAATTGATGAGGTGCATCATTTAATAGAGAATGAGTGTGTTTTGCAACACGATCAAATCCAAAGTACCACCAGTGCCCATAAGCTTTTGATTTAATAAAGCAAGATAATGCTTAAAACATATTTTGCTAGACTTCTCTAATAAGCACACTTGTATATTTATAAGAAGACCCTTCTTTCCTTTTTTATCAAAAAATAAAGAATGACTATAAGAAAAGAAGATGGAAACCATTTTTTGAATATGAAGGATTTGAAGTAAAGCTACTTGTAAGTAACTCTTTTTCCATTCTCATCCTCTCGTTCTCTCCCATATTAAAGCTAGTCTTGGTATTAGTTATTGATGCTCTAAGTGAAATAAAATGAAGCATAAATGAGAGAAATGTAAGTGCAAATCATGCTTAACAAGTTAAAACCCATGAGCTTGAAAATCACTAGCAGAAAGACCCTCATAAAACAAGAGTGAATTACTAACTTATAGGGCTGTAAACAAGCCGAGCTTGAGTGAGCTCAGGCTTGGCTCGTGTTCGGCTCATTCTAAACTGCTCGTGTTCGAAATCAGCTCATGAAAAATGTGTTCGTGTTCAGCTCGATTTCAATATTCGTGTCCGTGTTCGGCTCAAAATTGACTCGTTAAAATTAAATTGAAAAAAATAGATGTAAAGTGTTGGATTCAAACCTAGACCAAATGTATGGAAAAAAATGCACATAACCACATTACCACACGAGCTATTGCGATTTAAATTTAGATATAAATATATATATAATATTATTATATAAATAATATATGTAATATATTATTATAAAATAATTATATATATATTTTTTTTATTTCGAGCTAAAACAAGCCGAACACAAGCGAACAAAGAGTTGTTCGTGTTTGACTCGTTTATAATTCGAGCTTTAAAAACTTGTTCGTTTTCGACTTGTTTAGTCAACGAACGAGCAGAACAAGAGCTACTTAATGAGCCGAACGCGAGTTGTGCACGAACAACGAGCTTTTTTGACAGCCCTACTGACTTACAAGAAGAAGAAGAGGAAAAAAAAGAAGAAGAAGGTGAGATTAATACAACAACATTAAACCACAAATTTGAAACTTTGTAGAAATATATAAAGATAATAATTGATGCATTGTACGTTAAAAAGAGCAGAAGCACAATCTCTCCCTCCCAAAGGAAGAATACTAATGTTATTGAGCCTTACTGGCAGTAGGAGAGGACTTGACATGTATTAAATGGATCGCTCCACTGCTTCAAAGAAGGGAAGATCAAGACATCAGAAGTCTAATTCCATGAACTGCCAATTATTGACCTAAACCATATGGTCTAGCCATAATCAGCGCCGAATGGTCAAACTATGGTTAAACCAGTCCAAATAAAGGTCAAGAAGCCCGGATCCATGGCTACAAAAATGTCAATTTCAAGGTTGTGCTAGTTTTTACAAAATCTTTGATACCATTATGTATGAGCTCTTCTTGACTAGACTTAATGAAGCAACGTTTGTGTTGGTTTGTGAAACTGTCACATGGAGCCATAAAAATTGAACAAATTTGGAAGTGCAATAGGCATCAAATTTCTCAAACTCCCCAAACATGTGAAAGATAAGTCAGACCTAGTTTTTTTTACACAAGCTCTAGATAAGTCTCTGAAAGACTAGCACCTACTTCAACCATGACAAGTTAAAGGCATGTGATCCAAGCAAACAGATTGCAAAACATACCTTGATCCAAATTTAAAGGACAAAATATTCAAGTTTGGAGTCAATAAAAATTCTCTAGAGACTATGGTCTACTAGCTGGACAGGCAGACAAATATATGAATTTAGAAATGTTGAAGATGTCCAAATAGATCTTTTAGCCAATTGGATTGGCAAGTGTTGATTGAAAAGGTTGGGAAAAAAAAAGACTCTCAAACAAAGAACGATGAAGAATGATCAACAGCAAACCTAGTGTTGTCTTTGTGCCCACCAGTCATTAGCCTCCCCTGCAACATATGATAGATCGCCCCATTTTATAGTGGTAGCAACTATACATAATCTAAACTGTATCAAATAGCCAGAAATTATGAAACTTCCTACTAAGATGTGAATCCAAAAAATTATTTCATCATAAAAAATGCCATGGGCATGATAGTGATAATAATATTCAATGGAGGGCTCTCGTGAAGTAGCATTTAACCGAAAGACATTTGTAGAAGTATCACTAGAAACAGAAGGATCCAATTCATGACATGATTAAGTTGAGCTAACCAACAGACACCAACTTGACAGAGGTAATCGTAATAGAGTCAATTAGGAAGCCACAAGACAAAGCAATATATGTTTGCTAGACCACTCAAATGTAAATTATCATGCAATAATTCACCAATCGCGGCATTCTTAGACAATATTTAATATTAACAGGAAACTTTTTTAATGATTATATTATTATTCTAACTTTCATTAATAATTTTGAAGTATGTGGAATACTTATAGACCTTAGTAGATCAGTAGATGTAATGTCCTCGGTCATTTTTGAGAAATTGAATACAAATAAAAGCAATCTAAGGGCCTCGATGCAACATGTTATTAGGATTTTTAATGTGACAACATGAATCCAAGTGTATTGAAACTTTGAATATGTCATGGGAATATTATAGAGTATTTGTCGTTGGAGTAATAGAATTTCATGTCTACCGACTTCATCAAAGCACAATGCCAACTTGGAACTTGCACCTCAAAATCTTTCAAATTGCATTCACAACATATCCTTTAGCCACGAAATTCCTAAGATCAATGAGAATTGGCATCGAAATGGAAGACTTGGTTCAATCAATGATTTGTTAGATGGTCAAAATGAAAGCTCAAGGGTAATTATATATATTGAAAGCCAAAAGAAAGGATCGAGATCGTGGAGTTAGATCCAAACTCAAAAGACCAAGAACAATGACAAACAATCTAATTAATAAAATAGATGTTGGAAGAGCTGATAGACAAAGAAAACATTGGGAAAATTATTAAAATTTACTCCCCAATAAAAGTTAAATTCCAATCCAATTTAACATGCAAAGTAATGGATGTGTTTTCCTTAAAATTGCTTGAAAGAGTAACAAGTCATCCACTTCAAGAAAACCCAAAAATCAAGTCAATTAAATAGAAAATGTCGTAAAAAGTTAAAAAAAAAAAAATTAGCAATACAATTTCAAAGGTTATAATATAATGACAAAAAATTTTGATAATTATAATATAATGACAAAAAATTTTAATAAGTTCTGCAAAGAAGATGGGCTAGATAGATCTATTATTTCAAGTTGAATCGATTGGTGTTGATCAATCATCTTTGGTGTCAAATAATTTGTCCTTGATGTTAGATTGTTAGTTAACTCATGAGCACAGACTGATCGACCGAGTGATAGCCGATAATCTTGAAGTGGTCAGCAAGCTTTAAGTGGTTGATAGCCAACTAGCTTGATTAGGCTAGAACTCGAGACTTATACTCAAGCGAAGCCACCTAGTAGGATTTATATGAAACATATTGAGCTATATGATAATCAATGTAACCATGAGACACGCGTTAGTATGGAGTGGCCAGTCAAATTGCGAGGCATAATTAAGGGTTATCTAATCAAGCTATGAAACTAAGCTAAAAAAATAAGAGAGCTATGCTGGTGATGTGCAACTACAAAGAAAAGGACTATGTAACCTCCAAGTAAGGATTGTGTGGCCTAAGAGGGGATTGTGTGACCCCGAGATGATAGGAGAGCTATACGGACAATACATGAGAACTAGGTGGCCTCATAAAGTAATGTGAGAGCCCAAGATGACAGGAGAGCTATGTGACCTACATTCAAAGACTATTAAATCTCATAAAGGATTGTGCAGCCTAAGAAGATTGGAAAATTATATGACTACCGTAATAAAGTTTAGATAATTATGAAAAAGAGTGGGGATTAGTGAAGTAAATAAGCCTAATATGTTGAGCCTGTAAGAATTGTGAGACCTCTACTAAATGTTTATATGAGTGATAAGACTAGGCATGATTTACCCCTAATAGATGGGTCTTTGAGTAGTTTGTTAAGTATGCAAATGACTAGTGGCCAGCTATTAAATACTTGTTAAACATGTGTGGCATGATTAGGTTACCTGAGCAGACCCAGATGATAAGTTTTGTAACT